CCTGCGGGAGTTCGACGTGTATAGGGAAGCGCTGTATAAGGTTCCCATTATTGATGTTTCATGCAGATAACATCCCGGATCAAAATGCGGTACAATCGTCGTCGTCTTTTTTTCTTTTCTTTTTTTTAAAGTTGTCATTTGGAAATGAGATCGCACATAAGTATGAATCGAGTTCGCAATTTTCTAACGATTAATCGTGCAGCCCTAGTTGGAAGTCCAGTTGTCCAGATTGTGGTTCCAACTAAATACCGTGACGAGGTGTTGAAGTGTTCTCATGACAAATCTGGGCATTTGGGAGTGATGAATACTTATAATTACATCTTGCACTACTTCTTTTGGCCACGTCTTAAGCATGATGTTTCAGCTTACATTAAGACCTGCCATACTTGCCAAATTATAGGTAAGCCAAATCAGTCTAAACCTGCTCCACTTTGTCCCATCCCTGCTGTGAGTAACCCATTTGAACATTTGATCATTGACTGTGTGGGCCCTCTTCCTAGAGCAACATCTAGTTCGGAGTATCTTTTGACTGTAATGTGCCAGGTTACGCGTTATCCTGCTGCATATCCGCTGCGTACCATCACAGCCAAGTCTGTGGTGAAGGCTTTGACAGTTTATTTCTATATTTGGCATGCTGAAGATTATTCAGAGTGACCAGGGATCAAACTTTTCGTCAAATCTATTTGCACAAGTTCTTAAGCTGTTGAATATTGTACATAATAAAGCCTCTCCTTATCATCCACAGAGCCAAGGTGCTTTAGAGCGCTTCCATCAAACACTGAAGTCCTTGTTACGTGCCTATTGCACCAAAATGAGGAGTGACTGGGAGGAAGGTTTACCGCGGCTTCTGTTGGCAGCGCGAGGAGAGTACTGGGTTTAGCCCAAATGACTTGGTCTTTGGCCACAAAGTTCGGGGACCATTGACAGTGTTGTGCGATAAGTGGTTGTCAGGTGAACCACCAGTGAACCTGATAGATTATGTTAATGGTTTTTGGCACAGACTGTATGTGGCAGGTCAGTTGGCCAAACAGAACCTTGAAAAGGCTCAGGTCAAGATGAAATATTTTTATGAACGGCGTTCTGAAGAGCAGCAGTTTAGTGCGGGTGACCAGGTTTTGGCTTTACTGCCGATTGCAGGGTCACTGTTCCAGGCACGGTTTGCTGGGCCCTACACCGTGGTACAGAAACTGTCTGAACAGAATTATCTGATTGCTACCCCAGATCACCGGAAAAGAAATCAACTTTGGCATGTTAATTTGTTGAAACCATATCGTGTTCGTCCTTTGTCGGTCTGTCAGGCTCTCTCATTTCTCCTTCCACATCGAGTCCAGGGTTGACTGCTTGTACAATAGCACAGTCAGTTTGTGGGGGGGAGGATGTGGCAGCACCTGATGATCCTTTATTGCTTGGTCGTCTGAAGAATTCAGACTCTTCGGAACTTGGAGGTGCTGTTGGGCCATTTGCCTGCTGACAAATGTGCAGAACTGTCTGCATTAATTAAAAGGTATCCAACCTTGTTTAGAGACACACCTTCTAAAACAACTTTGATAGAGCATGATATTGATGTGGGTGATGCAAAACCAATCCGGCAGAGGTTCTACAGGGTCTCTGAGGAAAAGAGGAAAATAATTGAGAAGGAAGTTCATTACATGTTGGAAAACAACATTGCAGTGCCGTCAACATCAAGCTGGGCTTCCCCATGTTTCTTGGTTGAAAAAGCTGATAAATCACCACGTTGTTGCACAGACTTTCGTAAAGTAAATGCAGTGACCAAACCCGATTCCTATCCCTTGCCTCATATTGACGACTGTATTGACCAAGTTGGGGTCAGCAGAATATGTGAGCAAGTTTGATCTGTTGAAGGGATATTGGCAGGTGCCACTGACTCCCAGAGCTCAGGAAATATCTGCTTTCATCACGCCATCTGGTCTTTATTCATATACAGTCATGGGTTTTGGTTTACGCAATGGTCCAGCTACATTTCAGCGACTCATGAATATGGTTGTTAATGGGCTGAAAGGCTGTGCTGTTTACCTAGATGACGTGGTGATATATAGTAGCACCTAGGAGGATCATCTGGATCGTATTCGCACTCTGTTTGAATGACTAGTTTGGGGAAATCTGACTATCAACCTGGCAAAATGTGAATTTGCAAAAGCAACTGTGACCCATCTTGGCAAGGTTGTGGGCCAAGGTTATGTGAGGCCAGTTGATGCAAAGGTGTTGGCCATCAAAGAGTTCCCTGTTCCAGTAACCAAAAAAGAACTCGAGATTTTTGGATCTGGTCGGTTATTATCGCTGTTTTTGTCGAAACTTCTCAACAGTGGTTGCTCCTCTGACTGATTTGTTGAAGGCCAAAGTAAAGTTTATTTGGTCTGCAGCATGCCAGCAAACTTTTTGGGATGTAAAAGCTTTACTATGCTCTGAACCTGTGCTTTTAGCACCTCGTCTGGATCAGCCCTTCAAGCTGTATGTGGACGCAAGCCACATTGGTGCAGGTGCTGTTCTAGTCCAAGCTGACAAGCAAGGTACTGAACATCCAGTTAGTTTCTATTCCAAGAAGTTCAACTCCCATCAGCTGAATTATTCGGTCATTGAAAAGGAAGCTTTGGCATCAGTCTTGGCCTTGCAGCATTTTAGGGTATATTTAGATTCTGCTCGGCCAATTGAGCTATTTTCTGACCATAACCCTCTCACTTTCTTGAACTCATTGCAGAACCCAAATCAGAGGCTCATGCGGTGGGCTCTCTTTTTGCAGCCTTACAATATGGACATCCAGCACATTAAGGGCAAAGATAATGTCTTGGCA